GGCGGAGCCAACCTCTTTCTCGCGTTTTAGATCTTTCTTCCCTGTCATGGCCCTCTAAGGCCTAATGGACTACAACGGGCTTACATACGCGATCGTTCGTAGTCCAACATGCAAAGTTCTGTAACGGGCTTACGTACGCGATCGTTACCAGAACTATCCTATACTCTAACAATCTCAAACAATACTTTTTAATCCTTAACTTCATTTAAGGACCAATCAATTTCCACACATCAAACAGTCTTTACTAACAATCAGCAAGCATCAAACATTCCTAGACTTAACACATATAACCAACAACATCACATTCCATCCCTAGACTAACATGTAAGAACATCTAGTGTTAACTAGTATTAAAGTAATCTAGACAACACCCTCACCTTAGCCTTTGGATGACCAAATATGTAGGAGTGAACCTAGAAGGATGTGAATCTGCGTTCTGGAAAAGCGATTCAAGTCAAAAATACGTTTCTGGATTTTGACAGAATAAATGTTTCTTGACTAGAAAGAAACATCAGTAACTCACCGGATTTAGATCGGATTGGAAAACCGGAACTTGACCTGAAATCCTTGTAATGTCACCTTTCCAACGGTACAAAATCGTGTTCTAAATCCTTCTATAACAGCGTAGAAATTCCTCCAAAGTTAGATCTATGAAACCCGAGAACAGAATATGGTCAGATATATAGGGCAAACTTAAATCATAGATTGCGGGTTCATCTTACCTCGGAATCCAAATCGGAAAAGAGCCACGGAATCTACGAAGAATCCTCTATCCAAAGGTATGTAGATCATCGCCTAACTCCTCACGGTTCGCCGGAAAATCACCCCGCAAGTGCTCTGGTCGGATTTAAGACTAAGAATTTCAAATTCAGAAAACTGTGATTTTCCTGATATTCAAATACGATTTCCGAGAAGACCATACCTCGTAATCCAAATCGGAAAGAAGCTGTAGAAACTAGGATTTGTGATATTTCCAAAGATATAAGAATCACGATTTAATTCCTTCTGAGCCGCCCGTAATCAGCCCCGCAAAACAGCAACTCGGAACTAGCTTAACTGAGAAGGCAAAGACGGCTAGACCAAGAACAGTAGGGTTTTGCTAGCTGTGCAACTATGATCTTTCTCCTCTATTTCGTGGCCTTATATAGAGATATAGGGAGACTCTAGGTTTGGGTTTTGGTCAACTTAGGCTGCGGATAACGGGCTTTTTAGGGTTTGGGGATTTATGGGATTGGACCGTGACATATATAACGAGGTGCTTCTATTATTTTTTGAGATTGCAGCGGAGACACCATTTTCTCCATGGGTAGTTAACAAGTTAGCTTTTGGTGCCAAAAATAAGCTTTTGGTCCAACTCTCCCTTAGTTACATCCGGTTGGTGCCAAAAATAAGCTTTTGTGCGGTTTTGACTTGATTTGCTTATTTCTCACCTTTCTTACCTTCATCTTTTGCACACTTGTTCCATATCTTTGGAGAAGCACAATACTTCTTTGTTTAGCCTGGAAATTGTCTTTCTTTTCAAAGGTTGATCCCATCAACGCTGTTGAGATCAGCCACAAATCTTCTTCTGTCAAGCTCCACCATAATGCTGATTCTCCTTCAATCTCGTTTCTTTTGAGAGTAAGTATGTTCTAATGATATTTCATCGTTTACTAATTTTTGAAAAGTACACTTTTTAAATATTACATTTACTAAAATGACCTCGATTAAACTGAATAATT